ACAAGAAAGGGAGTGCCAATATAGCAACTACTACTGACAGTACATCTTCTTCCAGCACAAGGACCACATTCTTGGATGCTTTAGCAGTTGTCCGGGCTGCACTGACACAGCTAGAGAATGAAGTTGGTATTTCTAGATCTACATCTCAGTCTTCAGCCACCACTCTTGCTCATCCTACTTCAGCCCTTGCTCATACAAGTACAAGAGCTACCGCATGTCATGCTTCTGTCCCAGGTAACACTAGGCCTTTATGGGTAATAGATTCAGGTGCTTCAAACCATAGGAGCAGCCTATCTACTTTGTTTACCACCTATTGTTTATCCTCAGGGAGAGACAGTTTCTATTGTTGATGGCTCCCTTGTGCCAATTTCTGGTAAGGGAGACATCAGATTGTCTGATGCCATCTCCTATCCTCAGTTTTGCATGTTCCTAAGCTTAGTGCTAACTTACTTTCAGTTAGTAGTATTACTAAAAATCTGATAGGCCCCCAATTATCCTCACATATGCTAGGAGAGGGAAAGGGCAGCGTAAGCCAGGTCAGTAGTCGGTTGAGGGAAATGTTTAGATATTGGTGTGCTTATCGTAGCTATGCCAGCTGGGCATTGCTAGAGGGAGTTAGTTATGATATCAGGAGAGAATATTTCTAAAGGGAGTTAGTTAGGATGTTAGGAGGGAGTATTCTAGAGGGAGTTGGTTATGATGTCAGGAGGGAATATTCTAGAGGGAGTTAGTTATGATGTCAGGAGGGAATAATATATATGGGAGTTTCTGGATAGGGGGGAGGCAGGTGATGAGAAGCATTTTGAGTGTTTGGGAGAGCCGACAGTCTCTCGAAGAACCGACCACTGTTATTACTCTCCATTGAATGAATACAAGTTTCTTTTCATTTGAGCTGTGTATTTTCGCTGAGTGCCTGTGAATTGTGTGTGAGATTTCCGGGACATATTGCTCAGTAACCTTTTTTTCTGATTGGTGTGTTTTTTAGGATCTGAAAACGAAGAAGGTGATTGGGATTGGCCGTGAGATGAATGGAGTTTACCTGCTTGAACATCCATAGGGGAAGCAGAGTGAAGTGGGAAAATTGTTTGTCTCTCAGTCTTGGAGTAAGATTATGCTTTGGCATAACCAATTAGGTCATTTGTCTTTTGGGTCTTTAAAGTCTTTTTCCAAATTTATTTGAGTCAGCCAAAGTGTGAAAGTTGTGAACTTGCAAAACACAGTAGATCATCTTATCCTTTGAGTAATAAAAAAAAACAACATTCCTTTTGAAATTGTGCATACCGATGTTTGGGGGCTATATCATACTCCCACTATGGGGGGGGGGGGG